TGGTAATAATTCTGACTCTTCTATTTTATCTCCTTCTATCAGTCCTACAGATAAGCTATTCGAGGAATCTGGAAGGATGTTGATAATGCTTGCGACCTATCATGTTGTGCCCTAAGAAAGGGAATGCGTTCTCCAGTATTTGAGACGCTGATGGATTACTGTGTGGTGTACATGAACTGATAACCGTGCATGCCAGATCCTTGGACGATAGGAAGAATTCGCCCCATAAAGATGTGGACCGGCACTGTTAGGAGTTAACGATGTGAATATGTCCTTCTTTTGAGGAAATACTTGATCTCAATTGGAAGCTTTGTTGGAGAGGGTCTGAAGTTCGTGTTGAGGACCATGGTTCTCGACATTACCAGAGACTCTCGATATTTTGATGAAGTGCGCGTTCCAGGAGATAACCTGTATTACTTGACTGGAGGTATGTGGCAGCGTGGAGAGGCTGGCGACTTCTGTTGGTGATGCATTCGACCTTAGACTCCGGCATTTGGGGCTTGGCCATTCAGTATTGATATCCTCGCATAAATTGAAAGAGGTGTAAAGACCTGCACAGTAAATGTTCCAGTGAACATGTTGATGTGAGGCAAGAAGCCGAGTGAAGTTTGGCATCTCTTATCACCGTGCTAAGGTCGTTACTGGAGGAGTCACGTGGGACGTTTGGGGCCTTCCCAAGGGGGCATCATTGGCCGAGTAATAGGCGTTTGTTTCCTTTGTGGTGACTCTTTAGGCGTGTTTGGTCAACCCAAATCCCCTTTGAAAAAGGCCTAGTAGTATCCAACACTATTAGAAGAAGTGTGTGACTAGCACAGAAAGCGTGAGGTACTCCATTCCTGGTGGAAGGACAAGATGGACCTATTTCTGTATTGGAGCGAGCTTCACGGCATGTCGAGACACTTCGTTGAAAGAAAATTCTTTGGGCCAACTAGATAGGGTGCAAATTTGGAGAAGAACCGTGCCTTCGTGGTAGGAGGATCCCGGTGTTTGTTGTCCAAGCACATGGTCTGCCCCCAGAAGAGTTCCTGGGAATTAGAGGCTTCCACATATTAGGGTCTCATCTATTGAAAGAATTGCAACCTGCTGTGTGGGAGGTAAAAACCTCCCCATGGAAGCATAGGCTCTGTTAGTGTCCCACTTGTCCATGGAGGGCTTTCCCGGGATGAGGAAGCCAAAAATTTGACTTCTTTACCCCAGAAC